TTTTTTTTTTTTTTTGCCTTTTTGTTTTTTTTTTCGTTTTTTTTTTTTTAATTCAACATATCTACAAGACTACCATGCCACTTTGTTGATTATTTTCGTTTAATTTAATGACATGTTGTTTAATTTTACTTAGTTTATTAATTTCTATTTTAATTGCCAAACTTTTCTATTGTTTGGTTTAAGTATAAGCTCGATTTAATTGTATATTAATTTGAATAAACAGTGTAAAGCGTAAATTAACATTCTTTAATTAAGCTAGCTTATAGATTAAGCTTTGATAACTCAATTAATTGTAATTAAAATTAGAGAGAGAGAGTTAAGCATAAAAAATATTCTGCCTCATGCAAATGAAACACTTTAACAATAGAGAATATTAAAATTAACAACTCCTGAGTGGTTGGGTGGGGCGATATAAATGATTGGGTGTATTACTCAAGAGGTATTGACTATTGAGTTATATTCTCCTCGATTGTTAATAGTGTGGCCACTGGAGAGTTTATCGGTTGTTAACTTCAAGCGATTCTCCTCGGTTGCTAATAAGGATAGTCACTGGAGAGTTTACATAGTTGTTAACTTTAGAGTCTCAAAAGATTAGTTAAAGGGCGTAAGTTGGCTAAGACAACCCCAATAAAAAAAAAAAAATAGAGAAGATTCAAATACATCTTGTTGATACAAAAATCTGTACTAACCAGAGAATTCCGATTGACCCTGTTGGAACCAGAATGGATGTGTGCGTGATTACGGATAACCAGTAGTGGATGAATAATAAATGCAATAAAGTAAATGACAGAGAGATTTTTAAAGTGGGTCGGCAAGGTTAATAGCCTATGTCCACTGAGTTTTTTGTATTTTCGGTGAGAGCTTACAATGCAATTCTTATTTGAAAACATTCCCCTTCCTCATCGTTCGAGGGGGTTTTTATACAAGATTTGTACAGAGAAAAAAACGAAATTTAGGGGATTACAATCGATTTGAATTGTAATTTCGATATCCTACTGATTTGGTGCTGTGATTGCACAATGATCGTTGTTAATTGAGTCATTCCTGTAATATATGAGATCTGAAATAATTTAGAGGTTGATTGAATGATTCTTTGAACTATCCATGACTAGCTTATGCTGAGCCGAGTTATGACTTGACGAGCTTATGCTGGGTCGATCAATAATTGTTGCTGAGCTCATTTTGGGTCGAGCTATATCCTCATGTTGGCTCGAGCTTGGTGGAAAACCCAGACACAACACATCTTAATTTCGATGTAAATTTAATCATAAAATGCATGCTAATATTGGATATGTTTTCATATTAATAGAGATAATACAACTCCCATTTTTTTATATTAAAAAACTTAGGTTAAAAAAAAATAGGTGACAAATTTTCTCGAGAAAATTTCATCGATTCAAGATGTTGTTTTTATGAGTTATATGATCTATCGTATAATTAATAAACGATTATCAGGATTTTGAATATCTTATAAAATATCCTTTGATCATTGAAGTTATATATAAATTAACAGGCTTGTCGATTAATTTATCGATGCCCGAGGCTTTGTCCATCTAAATAATGGCTCTTCATTTCACAAATAGCTATCTAATCGCAAGCACATTTTGTTCTATATCTAATCGCCCACCCAAATCTTACACCGAATTTTTGTACCGAAGGACATGACAACTAGTTAGACGCGACCACATTGGAGTCTTTCGTGAATGAACGGCCGTCCAATATTTATGGACGTCCACCTGTATTTAATGGACTCCCGTTCATATTATATGGACGGGTGTCTATTTACTATAGATGGACTCCCATTCAAAAAATTGTAAAAGAAAAATAATGGACGCCCGTTCATCTTATATGGACGGGTGTCTATTTACCATGGACCGTCCAAAAAATTTTAAAAGCAAAATAATGAGTGTTCGTGATTATTAGACGGCTGTTCACTTATAATGGACGCTCGTCCATGAGAAAATAACAATGGATTCCCGTATATATAATATGGATGGGAGTTCATTTACTATAGATGGACGTTCACCTAGAATAGACGCCCATCTATTATTTAAAATAAAAAATTTTAATTCAATGGATAGGCGTCTATTGTTTGATTTAAAAAAATTTACAACATTTGAGTCTCAATCCAAGAAGTAAATGTTGCCATTTTCATTAAATTTTTGTCCATATTCAAAGTAATTGGACAAGCGTCATAAGCATAAGGCATTAAATTTTTATCTATATTCAAAATAATTGGACAAGTGTCATAAGAATAAGACACTAACTCAATTAGGATTCATTAAATACATTTAAAATTTTTCAATATTAAAAGATGGACGTCCATAAATAATTTAAACCAAATATTTTTAGTTTAAACTATGAACGGGCGTCCATTCTAAGTGGAGGGTCGTCCATATAATATGGACTGGAAACCATTTCAAATGAACGACCGTCCAATAACAATGGACAATCATCCATATTTGATGGATAACCGTTCATTCGAGGAATATTTGTTAACGTGATACGTGATTCGTCTGATTCAGTGGACATGTCGTTCAGTGTAAAAATTCGGTGTAATGTGTCAGTGTCCGTAGCCTTTTTCGATTAATTTATGGAAATCGCATGCACATTTTTAGTTGAAAAGTGTCCGTAGAATATCTTATAAAATATCCTTTGATCATTGAAGTTATATATAAATTAACAGGCTTGTCGATTAATTTATCGATGCCTGAGGCTTTGTCCATCTAAATAATGGCTCTTCATTTCACAAATAGCTATCTAATCGCAAGCACATTTTGTTCTATATCTAATCGCCAACCCAAATCTTGAACCATTAATAAGTTATTCCGTGCAAGCAGTTGGCAATCGATTCTCCAAAGCTGATAATGATATTGGAAATTGTATGGTTAATTGTACACCCAATTGACCAATTTTCTACAATAAATATGGAAAATGAGGCCGCATGGTTCACACTTCAAACCAAAATTCTAGATCTCACTATAAACAAGATTATTAGTTGTTAACCACCTACTAGGTCGCTGGATGATAAAAGAGTAAAAAGATCTAACATGAGTTTTTAAATTCGAGTTTCCTCAAACACTATTAGGGGTGGTTACGAGGGAATTTACCTGCCCCCTTCCCCTCCTCTATTTTCAAAACCTTAGAAGATTAGTTAGGGTGCGCGCAAACTGACCCGATCACTTTTAGATAACCGAAAAAAGATTATCAGTTTCTTACTTGACGTCTCACCAGCTTCCCCTAGTCGCAATATTTTATAATCATCCTTTATCACCTTCCCTAAGTAGATATTAGAATTTTAATTTGGTATGGTAATTTGCTTTGTTATTTCAATATAATATTAATACTTTATAATAATCTGAATCTGGGTCGCTCTCAAGGCTCAAGTGGGTAAGGTTTTTTACAGTGTTGGAAATAATTTTGTTTCTTTTCACTCTTTCTTCTTTGTCCTTGGGCCATTCCTTTTCTTCACATCTTACCAACTGCTATCAACTTGGTCGTTTTTTAGTTGAAAAGTTGGATACCATTTTATCCACTTTATGCTATTTTAATAACGCCCTTCATAACTTTTTCTGTTTATAGATTTTATATGAATTAATTAATAATCAACATCCTCAACTGCCCTTCACCAGAACTTGCTTTTAGCCGGCAGATGATCTTATTGGTTATTATAGTCGTAATAGTCAAACTTTTATTTATTTGTCTAAGTATTTGCTTCGTAATACAACCTTTCAGTGGCACATCCTTTGCTGAGAGATGTTCCAAAGCTCAACCATGCTTTGCAGCCTCGTTGTATGTGGCATATTCCGATTACATTGTGTTGCGGCGAAACAAATATCGTCGGAAAACAACATTTCTCCTGCGGTGTTCTAAAAACAGGTTGTAATTTTAAATTTTGATTTTATCACCTAAATTCGACACAATCCTCTAACTCAAAATGTGTATATAAAGTCGAGATTTTTTTTTTAGGTATATTTAGGCTCACACCAAAACCTATACTTGCTTGTTCGAGCATTCGACCCAGATAAGGAAATAGAATCATTTACCACCATACCATATTTCTCCGAAATAATGCTTTTAATCCGTGCTTGCTTTCGATCTCGTTTGTTAATAACATTGGAGTCTGCCTAATTCTTAGGGTAACAATACACCCTAAAAGTCCTATAGATTAAAGTAATTGTACAGATGTGATAGGTACCTCTCTTGCGACTCGAATATAAAACATTTTGGTTATAGCTAATCCTAATGGCTAAAAGGTTTGCCATCCAGTCACAAGGGAAGAGGTAAAATCGAGAATTCTGTTAAACATGAGAGCAATTTCGAAAGCAAAAGTGTAATAATCTAAACAGCAGAATCACAAGTAAATAACAATAAAGTAAAAGTAGAAGATAAAGAGAATACAAGGATTTATAGTGGTTCGGTAATCAATTAGATTACCTATATCCACTCTTTAGGACAATAAGAATGATTCACTATGAGAATAAGAAAACTTTACAGAGATTTCACCTCACTCCTTTACACAAAGAAAACCCGAGAAAGGACCCTCTATAATACACCCGAAACCCAGATGTTCCTCACCTCTCATACATTACATCAAACAACCAAAAATCAGTGACATTTATACACAAGATACAAGGGAAAACAGAAAGCACAGCTAAGACCTACCACCACCGTTTGATTCCATCAACGATCGTCAAAGTTCCAGCACATCCAGATTCGTAACAGACTTTCTCTCTTTGTAACCAAGAGATAAAAGTCGAGAATGAAGACTCAATCAAACAAAACCTACTTTAGATTAGGTTTCTTGATAATAGGAAAAGCCAGAAATGCCCCTTAGCTTTTAACAAATAACTTTGACCACCCAAGTTATAAGCTGACTTCCACGTAGGCATAAGTCAATGCCACATCACAACAAATTCTTATACTTGAAGATTCGTATTAACATTCGAATCTGTATTAGTTCACGTTTTAATATAATTTATAGTTGTTTTAACTAGAAATTTAGACCAAAATGTCTTTCTACTCTTACTCGATGATAAAGAGAAACAAACAATACTAATGTAAAACACCTTACGTAAAAAAGATGCCCTAAATCATGGACAAACAGAGGACAAGAAAACCCAGCTGACTTTGAATTTCCATGGCGTTTAAGTTTTGTTCGGGGAATATTTGAAAGAGAGTTTTGACAAGGACATACATTTTTACATATTAATTATAAGTAAACGGTACAGTGCATGTGGAAACAAAAAACATTGATTCATCCCTAACTTAAACATTGTAAAACGAATAAAACCCCAATTGGAATTAATAAGAAACACATCAGGGTCAGCATATCTAGAAAGATTCAAACTCATAAACAATGAAGGTATTAAATAGTAGCCAAGTTGACTCATAATTGGTTCCATTTATTAATAATATTGTGCATGGATTGTGTCCACAATACCTAGCCAAGGACATGAATCTGGTTGGGACTCTGTGTAAGAGAAAGAAAAGATAAAATTTTCTATCTTCAACATGGATTGTTTTTAAGTTTTAGGTATCTCGATTCCTGAAGCTTCTTTTGAGTATATCTGTTCGACCAATCACATTTTTTATATATCAGTGTATTTAACATATACAAATATCATGATTGGTCAGATACATATACCTATTACAACAAAGATTTTCTTAGTATTTAATAAGAGATAAACCATCTCTTACTATAAGCTCTATTTTATGCATGGTTGGTGCCATCATTGGAATTAAGTACAAGATCTAACAAGTTGAGTGTAATCTATTCCTGTTTTGATAGCCCTACCCACTGTTTTGGCTGTTAAACAACTCCATATAGGGGAAGTTTCATTAAGATTTTTAAAAGTTCTTTCTTTAATACTTTTTAAGTATGTATGAAACGAAAGGCCACCATGATTTTTTTTTTATAAAGGATATACGTAAGAGTGATTGTAGCTTTCACCCATGGTTTTGATATTACCAGTACCCATTGTTTTTGGTCTCTCTCTCTCTCTCTCTCTCTCTCTTTCAATCGACCACATTACCAATTGACTGCATGCATGCATGTATTTGGGATGAATAAAGGCAAAACCCTCGACAATTTTTAATTGAAGCTCCAACTATCTCAAGAACAATGCAAACGAGAACGGGTTTCGTTGCAAAACAGTGTCTGTAAATGGTAGATTTCCGGTGGTGTTCTTGTTAAAAGTATTGATTAGCACAAGTAAGATGCGTGTAGAAGAATTATATATAGCCTGATAAGAAGGCTAAAAGGAGAAAAAGGGGAGAGAATCGTTTTGTTTACTCAATCAAGTTTAATATACATCACCGAAAGTGTCCTATACTGGTTCACACAATCAATTCAACAGTTACTGAACATCACTCATCATTCAACTCTTTGAGTGAGAACATTGAAATTATTGTACCCTAACTAGCTTAAATAATACGGAAGGAATCTTATAGCAGCTTCAATTATCAGGTTTTAAGAATAAGTGCGTCCATGGGAGACGCATAAATGCTCCTCCCATTTATTGTTAGGTTAGGCTTTTGGTTTTAGAGGTCCTGCAAACAGGAACAAAAAGAGGATTGGGCTTGGGCTATCAGCTATCTAGAATTGCTATAAGCATAGTCAGATAGGGTCAAAATGATGATCGAATTCCATTGATTTGGAGGAACCTATTGCACAGATATAGTCTATTAAACCCAAGGCCTGGATGGGCGAGTTTTCTTATGTTGAGTGATTTAGCAGTAAGGAGTTGTGCATACCAGCATACACAAAAATTAAAAAGTGCTTTGAAGGAAAAATATAAGGACAAAAAATCAGTTAATAGATGTATATAAATAAGATATTCATCAACTTCTGCAGGTATTGACATAGAAGTAAACAATCTATATGGCGAGACATCATGTCAAGCCTATACATGCACTAATAGCTGGATTATAATGAAAACAAGTAGATCCTAAATCATGTAAACTTATGCCTTCACTGCCGAAACTCATGTCATGTCCAGCCTATATATAGATCTGTACATATTTTTTCATTCAATCTCAAACTGTTCATATCCTACATAGTTGTAAGATAGTTCGGCAAGAACCACATTATGTGATTTTGATGAACACGACATATACATGCATGCAGTCATTGACTCAATTGTATAATCTGAAAATATAATATTGCTAATGAACAGCAATCGATTATGAAAATGTTGCACCTCTTTATTCAACTCTGGTCAATAAATGAGCAAACAAGAGAGAAAAATGGGCAAAGAACCTGCAACAAACATGCATGGGGTAGTTTCTTTCGCTTTTCATTATCAAATAGAACTAGGTTCTGATCAATCCTTTTGAAGCCTTCTCATTTTTCATTATCATACGGAAAGACTTCAACTTGTCTTCTGCCACAATCTCTCTCAATATATCATCTTCAATTTTTTCTATTTGCCAGAGAGAAGGGTCCTCTACAAATTCCTCACTGAAAATCATACAGGATACCCATTCCTTCCATGTTGTCCTGCGATACTTGTCTTCTTCGAGTGTTTCAGATGCCAAGAGCTGATACACATAAACAACCTTCTGTTGACCAGGTCGAAAAGCACGTGCAATGGCCTGCTTTGTCTTGGAAGGATTCCACTCTGAATCTAACATAATCACCCGCGAAGCTGCTGTCAAACTAATACCCTCAGCACACGCTGTAATTGAAGCAATCAATACCCTTGAAGGCCCACCGGGTTCCTCAAACTTATCCATTATTCTTCCCCGTTCAAACAGCTCTAGGTCCCCTGTGAGAACCAAAATTTCTTTACCCTTCTGCCATCGAAAGACTTTCTGGAACAGTTCTGAAAACAAATTGATAGGTGCAATATTGTGGCAAAAAATCAGAACCTTCTCTTGCTTGACAATTCGATACACAAGATTTAGAACAAACATCACTTTGGACCCTTTTCTAAAATCATGTTTGTACTTTTCAAGATCCATTAGTGCTTCGGGAGTAAAAAATTTGTTAACACAATTTGAAGTTTTTACCAACCAAGGATGTATTGATGCAAGGGTTATCAAAAGCTCCAACTCAAGAGGATACCCATTGTAATCCTTCATAATATCCTGAAGTTGCTCTAAAATGTTACGTTGTACATCCGTTGGATTCATCATTAAGGTGTAAATTTGTAAACCAGGGAGCTCCTCAGAACCTACACCTTCATACACATCGATAAATCCACTTGTGATATTTTTCAACATATTTAAACCTTGCATCCTTTCTTCACCGTTGTCTGAATCAATCTTTCTTGCAATGGTATCTATGAAGAATTTTCTTGCGCGAGATTCTAATAAATGGAGGGCCTTCTTCTTATTTTTTCTCCTTTTGAATTTTGGGTCTAGTTCCCTCAGCACTTCATTGATAAACTTTGGTCGGGCCAAGCAGAGTGTATTGAAATACTCACAGAAGTTGTTCTGAAATAATGTACCTGAAAGCAATATTCTCAGGTCTGTTTCAACTTTCATCAGAACCTTCCTCAATCTTGACTTAGTGCTTCTAGGGTTGTGCCCTTCGTCTAGTATCAGGATCCCTGGACTCTCCCGCAGCACTTTAGCCATATATTTTCTGTGTGCAAAGTTTGCATCTTCCCGCATTAGTGTTAGAAACGAAGTGTAACCCATGACAAGAACGCTGGGCTGTGCATGCCACTTCTGTATCTTCTCCAAGCAATCCAGAACATGCATAACATCTAAAGTAGGGGCTGGAACTCCTCGGAATGACTTTACCCTTTTTGGCTTGAAGACTCTATAGGTCCTACGGCCATGGATTAGATGAACTGGTATGGGAATTTTCCACTTATTAAATTCTTTGTACCAGGTATAAAGAGTTGTCTTTGGGGCAAGGACCAAAGGTCGTTTTCCTGGGAATAACTTCAAGTAGCTAACAAGGAATGCAATAATGAGCAAAGTTTTTCCAGCGCCAGGAGAATGAGAAATAACACAACCGCCAGTTTTCTTAGATGCTGGTTGCATAAGTGCCGGCTCCACAGACCCAGCAATATTTCTCCATAGAAATTCAAAAGCCTTTTTCTGATGAAAATGCAATTTCTTCTTAAGTTCGGGAATTAAGGCCCACACATTGTCATTCTCTTCTGATAAGGAGAAGTCAGAGGAAGCTTGGTTGCAGAAAATATTCAGGCCCTCATCTTCAACAGGCTTATGCTTTGAATATTCTTGATCCTCCACCTTATTGTCAGTTTCCCAGATTCTGTGTTGCATCTAGTGAAAAAAGAAACAAGGCATTAGACATCTACAATTAGATACTGCCAACAACATAAAAATTCAAGCTGAATGCAAAGGAGATGAACCCAGAATTAATCAATTCCAACCAGGAAAAGTGCCCACATGTCAACCAAATTTGACAGCCATGGGCTGCAAGTAGATTACATGTACAAATGTATCAATCTTCCTATGAAGGGTTTAGGAAGATCTCATAGGAAGATTGATACAACCATTAAAAAACCATGCACCATTTATTTAAGACTATTTGACAGATTTTCAAATTATTAAAACTAGAAATGCTTTTACACACACACACACACTATGAAGGATTTAGGAAGATTGATACATCCATTATAAAACCATGCACCATGTATTTAAGACTATTTGACAGATTTTCTAATCATTAAAACTAGAAATGCTTTTCTGCCACACATGTTTTTGCTAATTTGGTAACATGAGGATGTCAGAAGACAATCTGTGTCCATTTAGAGGGCAACTGAGTATCCCAGCTGGTGTACAGTGAAAAACAAAAGATCCTTGTATTCTTGGGCTGCAAAGTTGACTTACAAAGGGTGGTGCAACATATTTTATTTCCGTGCGCACGAAACCACATTTAATACAACAAATTCCAACTTCTTCATCTAATCTGTATTTGTGTTGGCAACCTTCACTTGATTTTTCCAGAGTCTCAGTTGGCTCTCCAGATTTTGAACCCTGAAAATCATTATCAAACTGGATGAGTGATGTAGGCAGCAAAGCTTACCATGTTGCATCTGTGCCCCACAGAAAACAAATCAAATACAAACATAGTATGTCAAGTGTTTTAAGTTGTATGATGTAGATAGATGGATAGAGAGAGAACACATCAGCCAGGGTTCACATAAACTAACAATAAGATAATGAAAAAAATTAGTTGAAACAGTTATACCTCATTGTCCTCAAGGATATAAGTTGATGCCATAGATAATTCCATTTCTTTCCATAAAATTTCATTTTCTGAAATTTCTCCATCATCTTCGCTTGAGGTTTGCTCCATTTCCGATTGTTCCATTTCCATCATTTGCTCTAGGGAGTTTGCCTTAAATCCATTCCACTGGTCAATAATATCCGGTTCTTCATTTGTCATTGTGGACTCAATATTCTTCATATATGAATTTATTACTCTACTGTATGCTCCTGCACTTAAGGTTGTTTTCTTATACACCTTTCTTTCACAACATGCATCATTTTTTGAACTTCTTGGACGAAATCTGTTAGTTTGGACTTTCTTGTTGGACAGTTTTCCCCATGTCCTACTTTCAAATCCCATATCTTCTACCTTGGAGATATTTTTACTTAGCACTTTTTTGTTGGGGTTTATTTCTCCCCACCATCTTTCAAACTCAGTATCTTCTAACTCAGATGTATCCCTCCTCTGCACTGAACGAGGACCTTTCAAATAATACTTGAGAGGAGTTTCATCAATCTCTCCTGAATGATTTTCAGGATTTTTGGCAGGGAGATCATCCTGATAAAAGGCTAATGGATCACTTTCAGTAGGCACAGGAACAATGGCAAGTTCAGTGTTATGTTCTTTTTGACTGGCCATACTGGTTTTCACCTCCTTATGTTTATTCCTGCTCTTCTTTTTAGGAAGATTTCTTGTGTCACTCTCCACATTCTCTTCTGAGCAATTTGAATGCCCCCATACCAGGCATGGTAATGGTAAGTACAAATCTTCTTCTTTCCATTTGTCAGGCTTATATGGCAATTGGCGAACCCAGCCAATGTCTGAGTCTGGAGGAATATCACAGCCAAAAAATCGCTCAGGTTGTACATTTCGACGCTTGGATCGCCGCAGGTTCATAACATCACAAAGTGGCACTGGTCCAGCTTCTTGCACACTACAATCAGGACTGACCGGTTTAGTATCAGTTTGAATAAACTGAACCACATGAGATGTTGAAATGCCACCGTCAACATTGAAATTTATAGCATATAGATGTTTATCTGAGTTTGGTGCAGAGTTTTCTTCATCACCATCCAAAACTTGATAGACGATTTTGTTTTGCACAGATCCAATATCAAACGGAGTCTGCTTCAAAACTGATGCAACAAGTAACCATGAAAGATCAGATGAAAATTTCCCCAGCAGCAGCTTAGATCTTTGCAACAAAGAGCAGTCCTCAGAGAAATCCCACCGGTAGTGTTGATCTTCACAAGCATCTTTTCCAAGCTTTTGGAGGATGGTTATTTGATCAATTCCTACTAGTTTACTCTCTTTACTGAGAGTTCCCCTCTCTGAACCAAGAGGACCTTGGTTGACATATAATTTAACATAAAACTGGCATAAGCATTGATCTCCGTGAGGCTTTCTCTCGATGGAACTTATTTTAGCATCAAGCCACACCTACAGTAGAGAGAGAATTTAGAGATCCAACTTAAATAGGGTAATTGCGACATTCAAAGAAAGCAAATGTTGTTAAACCAAACATCAATGTGACTTACGGGATCTTTATTTTCTTCCTCTGAATTCTCTGCATTTTCAGTGGCTGAAAGCAGACATACATCAACTCCAGGCCTCAAAAAGCAGGTGCAGTCAGATAAAGTTGCTCTCCTTGATTTTAGTCGAAGATTTGAGAATGGACGTTTCTCCTCAACCAGAGTTTGGTTATCTGTGAGATGCATGGTGACAATCCCATCCTCGATTCTTATGAACTCCACAGGTTGCCATGAGTCATGAAAAAATGCCTCAAAAGCTGTTGTATGAAAAAAAATATAAAAAAATCAGTCATATGGTTTATAATCATATAGGAATTGGAAACAAATGAAAAAGACACTCTTTCACTAATTTCCCATAGCAACTGATATTAGTTCATTATGTTAAATTTTAGCTTTCAAAGTGGTTTCAGTTATGTTTCAGATTACGTAGATGAATAAGGCACTTCAAAGGTTTGAGATGACTAACAGCAATAAAACAAATAATTTGGTAACAGGATGATTCTATCTTGCTTTAAAAAAAAAAATAATAGGCATTGAGTTGTAATGAGAACACAATCTATCATAGCTCAGATAACAAGCAAATGCCAAGTACAGTTCAACATATTCAAAAACAAATCACTTAAATAATTTCACTTTTTCTGAGTCATGAGAAATAATCAAAAAGCCAAACAGTTCAGCTGTCATTTAACCGGTTAGGCTGTTACCCAAAGACCAAATAATTTCATCAGTTTGTTAAGTGGAGGAGAAAATGCTTACGATAAACATCAAATGGATGCTTGGATTGATATAAATTGCTCCTCCTCTTCTTCGGCATTGATCAGCCAATAGGCTTAATCTCTTCAATAATCTCCTGTATTATTTTAACAGATTAAAGTCACATATCTGCAACACAGAGCACGTTAGGCACATTAATGATATCTGAAATGGAGGGTTTGTTTTAAGTGATTGGGAACATAAGGCACAAGGAAACCAAAGACCCTAACGCCTATTGTGTTCTAAGCAATAAGATTGTGTACCAAAGCATCACATTATTATCTATTACCTACTTTAAAATTTACTATACTATTAATTTCCTTGTGAAAGGAAAAGGAAATGCTAAAAGGCATTGGATCAGTAATGGAGCCTGCTCTTTGTTGTTCCACATACAAGCATGCCCTTACTAAAGTCATGCTCCACATGCCAAATACAATGGTGAGGGCCGTTGTTACAATTATAGTGCTACTTTGCCGGTACCCAACTCTCATGACTATCATTAGCATGCTCTGTCAAATAGCTTGACCTGGAATTGACCAGGCAAGCCACCTAAGAAAGTGTGGTCCAAGAATTAAGCTATTGTCATAAGAATGACTTTTTTTTTTTTTTTTTTTCGGTTTTTTGGTTATGCCATATATGAAACTGTTGTCCAAGAATCAAAGACATTTTCATAAGACTTAGTTTTCTGCCATGACTTTAAAATTAATCCATTAATAGAACACTAGGATACATACATTAACCCCACAAGACACGCACCATTTAAGTCGGCGAGAGAAGATGACAGTTAGATTTGAACCCGCGTTAAAGAACTCATTTTCCATGACAGTATGTTACAAACCCAGATTGAAGAACTCATTTTTTTCCCCCCTATGATAGTAGGATTCGAACCCGCATCAAAGAACTCATTTTTATAAATGCCCCGAGGTTTATCCTTCTAACCATCTTGCTACCGTGAGCAAAACTCATTTTTTCATTCACCCTTTCTCCATATTCTTATCAGCCTTAAATTGGAGAAAAATATAGAAATTAAAAAACCTTAAAGTTCAAGCTACTGTTAAGACATAATCTAGATTATGCCCTGTCACATTTATTCCAAAGCAGAAAATGTGACACTACATGTCAACCAGAAACCATAGCCAAACAACTTTTTTCTTTTTAGTTTCCACCTAATTTCTTCTTAACAGTTGCTTGATTAATGTTTTTCTTAAAGAATAAACAAATTACCAAACAGAGAAAGATGCAGTAGTGACCACAAAATGGTGTTGGTTAGCTATAGACTTTGAGACATTCATGATTCAACCACTAGAAGAATCACATAAGAGTAAAATTTTACTTGAGAGGGAAACTAATGCATGTGAATGATGTCACCACTCACCAAAACCCCACAAAATACCAGCTAAAAATTGAATGATCAACAACAATGACAATACACAAAAATGATTATCAAATTCAAGTTTAAACAAAGAAAAAACAAACAAACACATAGCCTGAGTTTGTATCATAAAATCATCCATGTTGATGATCAAAGTAATAAACTAAAAGAACACTGAAAGAATCCATGTCATCCAAGCAAATGCAAAGCAAAAAGCAAAGAACTTTGATCATTTTACCTGAAAATAACTTCTGGGTATGAAAGAAAATCCAGATTCCGATGAGATTGTGGCCTGAAAACAAAGACTGAAAATTTATTGAACATTCATAAAGAAGGGAGAGAAAAAAAGTAAAAGTGAGTGAGTGAATGAATGAATGAATGAGGGTGAAAGAGAGAAAACGACAGTGAGGCGGAGTAGTCAATGGAGTTGTCGGAGAATCTCGGGTTGTGTGAGTGGCTTTTGCATGAGTTAAAAGTGGTGGTCGTTCAAGCACGTTTGCGGTGAATGGCAAAGTGATGTAAATAAATGATGATTGGAGAAAGAAATGGACGGCTGTGATTGATGACGATGGAAGGGAGACATGTTGGGTGGGACCTATCTCAGGTACGAAATTTGATACTTAGATTACATTCAGGTTTCAACACGTGTGACTAAATCTAATTACCAAAAAGCAACAAGTCAAACCCCTTTTACTCTGCCATAACCAGAAAGCAGAGCCAACATACAGCTCATGGTCAGAGACTCAGAGCTCTCTTCCACATGCTTTCCAAATTCCAACTAAGGAAATTGGAGGGATTATCAAATTTAATGAAGGGTTTTAAGAAAGAGTTATGATTGTATTTAAAAGAAAATATTAAGAGAAATTATGAATTAAAGATAGTGCTGGAAATTGGTTAGAGGCATATAAGGCTAGAACAGCTGAACAGGGCATATTTGATTTGTTTGACTTCTTTAGATCTATTATCGTAGATACAAACTTTGGTGCATCGAATGTACATATATTCTGTTAATGAATAATCTTTCTATAATGAATGAACGATCTTATAAAATGAATGGACGTATACCAATTGTATTGAAAAGTTGCTCTTACTCAATAATTTGAGAGTTCTGTAGTTGGTTTTGTAATTTGATTTCGTTATCGATATGTAGTTAGAAAGTTGAAAGTGGTTAACAAGGGAAATACGGTGAGATGGCCTGTATTTACAGCAAATTTTTCAGGTATAGATATGAATGAAACTATATGCAAACACAAAAGGTATTATTGCATTTGCATTTGTTGTCTTACTTAATAAGATATTGAGAAATCCTAATAAATAATGTCTTTCAATTTGTTTCTTAGTGGAGTAAGATATACTAAAGTTATCATTATTGTATTTATTGTGAGAGTTGTAACATTTATTGCCTTATAAAACAATCTCAACAACCCCAGTCCTCATCTTTATTGGCTTTTTATTCTATTTTTTCCTCCATTTTATACAAGAAAATTAAAGTATTTCAAGATTTATTCAATTAATAATCCATCTTGTATTTAATTTGTCTTCTCATGTCAGTAATTTACATGATATTGATGTGAAAACATTCACTGTTCTGTTAATTTTGTTTAAAATAGCAAGAAAATTGAGGCAGAAACACCCAGTGATGAAATCGCTGGCCCTAGGAGAAAAAATTTCAGCTCAGTTGTGGTCACCAGAAAGTAGAAAATCTGAGCATAATGCTAAGACATCCATTGCAACATCAAAACCAAGCAAGCAGAAATGTTACTAGTCAATAAAAGACCAGATAGACAACAGTTAAACAAAAACCAGAAACTCAAAATTCCTGTCCGGTACAAAATATATTGAAATCTTTTAACTATTTAGAAAGATTACAGCACAAACTGAGTACTTTTGAGTATATCTACAACAAAGAATTTGTATCTCAACCGTTAATAACTAATATAAGTACACTCTCCAACCCCATCAAGGCATCAATGATGGTGCAGAAACAAATATATCTGCTCAATTCTCTAATCTAAAAACCTATAGAGAATAAGCCCATTAAGTAGTCAGTTCAGAATTAACTCAGTAACAATTCATTCTGAGGAACATGTTTAAATAGCAGAAACCATCTTCAGTTCATCTTGGACAAGACCTATTAAAGATTTATTAATCACGGATGAACAACACAGATATTTGATCTTGATCTGCTGCAATATCCAAGCTGGGATGTCCTCACTCCTCAGAACCCAAAGTCATTGCCATCCTCTTGTTTCAGGAATTGAAGGCCATAATCTGAAGCCCCCTGCTCTGTATGCAAAGACAAATCCCCATATTGATTTGGCAGCTGGGACAAATCTGATGGTTTGTCATACAGCATATGGCCATAGTCAAGTAGTCCTAGTTGATTTTGAGTGTCAAAACTCAACTCATCCTTTTGTTCTAGGGTGCAAAGAGGATTACTATCTATCATATTCAGCAGATCATTCACATCAAACATCTCATCCATTGACAAATTTTTTTGCCATTCTTCTGCATCTATCCAACTGTCGTCCGCTAGATTCATAAACTGCTCCTTAACTTCTGGTTGAGAGGCACAAGTAGCACCCAAAGCAGCCTCATCTCTCACTTCTGGCTTCCTATCATACAGTTCATCATCCACAGGCTCCTCTTTGGTTTTCGGTGGTTTCTCTGGACTACTTGAGAATTTGGCTTCGGGCTCAGTATTGATTCTAGATTCAGCTTCCCTACCATCATTCTTCAACTTAGAATCCTCAATCTCGGACCAGCTAGATGTTGTCGTGGATTCAGAATCCTTTGAATACTCATTCAAGTTAGAATGGTCTGGCAAATTAAGTCTCGCACCAGAACCATACATTGCCCTGGCAGCTTCATCATAAGCAAGAGCAGCTTCAACTGCAGTGGGAAAAGTACCAAGCCACAACCTCTTACCCCTGTTTGGCTCCCTTATCTCCGCAACCCACTTGCCCCAAGTCCTCTGCCTTACACCTCTATAATTACACCCTGCATTGTCCGGCCCTCCCTTGCCTTTCATACAGCCCTTCTTCGAGCCCTTAGCAGGGACTTTCCGCACCTGTTTATTCTCACCATCACAGGATTCAATAAAGGCATTATATTGCTTCCACTTTGCGAGAGTCTCGGCCACGTTAATGCCGTCTCTTCGCTTCCTCTTCCTGTAAGAATCAATGGCAGCCATTTTAGAACCTTGATTATCACAAACACCTATCTTCGCAAACTTCAATAATATCGCAAAGCAAAACAAATACGCTGTAACAGTCTACTCTATGTAATTACGAAAACCTAAATAAAACAAAACTAGACTTCAACTCTTGGTATTAGTTTTAGTTGGACTATGAGATTTCCTAGGGGCCAAGTAATCTCTGGATTTCTAAATTTAGAAAGATTACTTCAGCTCCAAGTAATAGGAAAAAGTATATACTTTAAAGAAGAAGAGAACAAAACG